TCACAAGTCTCCTTTCATTTTGAGTCTTAACATTTATGATAAGGCCCTTTGAGTTTCATCTCACTCTTTTATTTGTCCTTGGTGAAATACTCCCACCCAATCTTTATCTGATCAGTAAGGTTTTATCTCATCTGCCTGTGAAGCTATTGGTTCTTTTTTTTTTTCTTTTTAAGACCATGATACTTAATGACCTTATCATCAGTTTTATTTTTTAAGACTTCTCATCTCTCATTAGTCATATTCCTTTTCATGGTTTCTCATCACAAGCCCATTTGGATCGTGTGTTCGTGTGTGTGTTCGTGTGTTCATGTTCCTTTTGAGCCTGCTTTTCGGTGTTTTGCGGTATGTATAACTAAGTCTAGGGTTTCCTTCCTAAGCAATTCTGTGCTTTCAGATGATAACACTTTCTCTTCAGCTTCACACTTCCTCTACTATTTAGTTCTTTCTTGTCCATCAGTTTTAAATCTAAAACAGCACCCTCTACATGTTTCAGCCTTCCTTAGAAATTAAAATATCAGCAAGATATTTCTAAAGGGGACCTGAATGAGAAGCACAACGTTAAGTATTTGTTGCTCCCTGTGTGCACTTCTATTTCCTCATCTGTAAAATAGGAATAACAATGGAATGATTATTCTAGGGCTCTTGTAGAGAATAAATGAGTTAATATTGTGTGTCTGTTATGGTTTGCACTCAGTAACTTATCACTGCCATTATCGTTGTTGTTGTTATTTATCATTACCACCACGAAATCTTACCTTTTCTCCAGTTTTCTAAACTAAACTAAGAAAGCATCTTTCAGAACCTCGATTTTATCTTGGACTGAGTATATAGCACAATAATATCATTTTTGTTTTCTTTTCATCTAATCCAAATCTGTTTCAGCATGCTTCCATTCTTATTGTTCTAGATTCTACAGAGTTGTATAGAAACTTGATAATCAATGTAAATTTATTATACTACCTAGCATATCTGTTTTCTTCCTTCAGTATACTCTCACTGTATGTATGAATCCATTTTCTCTGATCACCTCCAAGGAGATCACGATTTGCCGAGATGGAGCATTCAAAGTTGCTGCTTTAAAGGGAAAAGGTTTCCATGGTGATAGTGGAAATTAAATAGCTATTTAATAGCATGGTTATATTTTTACATAGAGAATGGTATTCTAGGAGTGAAAAAGACCTAATCCTATCATATGCCCACTAACCCCATTATGCAAACTCCTAACTTCTGTGAGTTCTAATATAATAATATTAGCCTAGATAACCTCACAAGTCATTTCCAAATTTGAAATTTTGTAGTTCTCTTCAATGATCTTGAAAGCAACTCCTCTGCTAATGGCCACCCCTGAGTATTTACTGTAGCAGATGTTAATTCCGATCAGTTTAGCTTAATTGCGTTTTAACTATATGCAAAAGACTTTTGTTCTTTGAGATATCAGAAAGCAAATTAACTTTGCCATAATTAAAAATGCAGTGGGTCATAAAAGTTAAAACAGTTTGATTTATTTCTGCTGATAATTAAATTAGCTTGGGTGCCTGATGTTTCCCATAATAATAAAAATTCTTGTGATGCCTTTTGGGGCAGAGTTTCACAATAGTAGAGAATGGCAGAAAAACCACTCATGTGAGTTGAGAGAATATACTACGGAATAACAAACAAACTCCACATATCTGATGCTGGTAGTTCCAGGTAAGAAAATCAAGGGTCTGGAGTCACATTTTTGAAAACTGAAAAGTCATTGTGTCAGGCCTGATCTTTAGGCCTCATGGCAGTTTTATTTATTTTCTGTTTCTACTTCCTAATAATTGTCAGAATACAGAAGTAGAAAATAGTTTTAAATAGCATTTCCTGCCTTTCAAAAATTATATGAACAAGCAGAGTCTTAAGATCAAATACTCATGGGGCTATACTTCGGTGATCAATTCTAATTTTCATAAGTAAATTCCAATGCAAGTCTGTGAATCTGTCTATCTTTGATGTGAGTATGTTCCAATTAATCACTTTTAAATCACATTATTAAAGAGTTAGGGGCACTGTTAGTTTAGGGGCTGATTTATACAAACTCCTGGTTTCTCTTTTTCTAGATTTTTGAACTTTTCCTATCTCAGAGTAACATGAAGCTTTCATCACTGCCAATACAGAATAAATTAGTTGATTATATATTAATTTGGGAAGAAACTGAACCTTAAACGTTTTGCATAAGTGTGCATTTTGTTTATCTTTATAATTACTGTGTTTCCTAGACCAAAAGCCAGGAGGTAGAATTGAGTTCATCATAATTGTAACAAAAAGTGTTTTACAAATCTCTCATGAACCCTGTGTGACTCCCCTTCCCTTCAGCCTCTTCTCAGATTTTTGGTGGGGAGAAGACAGCTCCCGCTCACACTCAGCCATTTGACCACCACCTGGTGTCCATCGGTCTGTTCCCTTTTGACTTGGGTTTTGAGAAGTCCTGTTAGCTGCCAGGGCTGCCAATGTCTGATGCTCCTTTGGCGTTTTTTCCTTTTCTACTAATTCAGCCTATAGGCTGCACTTGTGGTATGCTGTGCTACCTGAGGTCTATAAAGCAAAATTGCACTCTTAGTAATATATTGGAATTATAATAATTTAAAAAAATGAAACCACTCTTTTGGCTTCTTGACTTTTACCTGTAGCTGCTGTTCTAGGAGCTTGGCTGAAGGGTAATCTAAAGGACAGATGCCTTTTCAGTGTAACCTGGCTGGATTTGGCTGTCCGGATTTTTACTCTGTTAGAGGAAGCTCTTCTCCAAGAGACCCCAAGATGCCCTATACAAAATCTCTCTGGGTAATTGTTTCTGTTCTCTGGACATATCTGAATACAGAGTTGAACAATATAGAACCTTGCCATTTATGCAATCTTTTATTATCATAGGAAATTGATCTACAGATACTATTTCTTATACTTTTGTTATGTTGCTTCATTCCTTTATTCAATTATTACTATGTTCCAGGCATCTTTGTAGGTTAGTGGTTGTCAACTGGGTTGACTATATCCAACTGCATTTTGACAGTTTTGCCTTCAAAATATGTTCCAAATTTTCAGTACTTTCACTTCTAACATGTAATCCAGTTTATCATTTTAGATTAGATCACTGCAATAGCCTCCTAATCAACCTCTCTGCTGTCATTTTGTTCTATTACCATCTTTCCTTCCTACAGTCGCCAGAGTCATCTTCTAAAAATGAGAGTCACATCATGGGCCCTTCCCTGATAACAATGGCCCTCCCCGTCAACGGCTTCTCATCATGCTTAGGCCTTATCATAATCCGTGATCAGGCCCTTGACTGCTGTTCCCAAGTTATCTTCCATGATTCTCTCCTCTTCTCGCTTGGTTCCTTGCAGAATTGGAGTGCTTTATTACATGTGTAAATCTCTTCTTTTGCATTATTTAGATAAAAGTTGGAAAGCTTTTGATTGACTGCTTATTCATGGTTCTAACCTATAGACTTACCTTTATCATCAAACTTTAAAAGACCTGTGATTTAGAATGGAGAGTAAGAAGATATTTGATGTGGGAATCTTTAGCTCTAAGTTACATATCAGCCTTCATGTCTTTGGGCTTAGTATTTGTGAAACAGTTATACGATTTTGAATGAAAATATAAATGGTATGGATGTAAAAAGTCAAGACCTTGGAGCATGTGTGTCACTATCCCCTTGACTTTCTAACCAGCCCGTTCCAAAGTTTTAGGGATCTTAGACAGTCCATCTCTCTTGGGGTCTGAGGATGTGTGAATCATAAGTTTCCCTTTTCTGATTATTTTTGGCTCCTCATTCTCCAACCCCTGCCCCTCTCAAATTATAGATAAGAAAATATTTTTAAGGATGCTTTTCTGAGAGAAAATATGTAATAAGCACCGATCCATTGTTGCATTTCCTAGGTGAGACATTAATGAAGAGTGTTTACCTGAAAATTTCAGCTTTTTCCTTCTGATACTGAATTTGTAAAATTACTACCTTTAAAACTAAGCTCATACTTAATATCGTCAGTTCTTTTTTGCACCACCCTATGGGTTTCTTTGCTTCTTGCCTGGAAATTTCTGAGAATCACAAGCCTTAGGGCATTTAAAACTAGAATCTCATCAGTTAAAATTTGCAAAATATTTTGATTTAGAGAAAAAGGAGCTACTCTACCCCTAAAATAATATAATTTTCACGTGATATATTCCTTAAAGGTCATATTATATGACAGGAACATGGGATCTGTTATTGAATAAAAAATGGAAAACTGAACAAGATTTATAAACTTTTTAATAGAGTCATCTACCCTCAACCCTATCTTCTTTTGTGCATGCCACATGTATCTAGCCCAGGAGGTATATGACTAAACTATCATGTTATGGTCTGTGAAAGTTCCTACCTTTTGTTTTAGAGTAAGTGGATTTTTACAAATTGTTCTTAACTAGCATATTGGTAGGGCAGCAGAATATCCAAATTGACAGGTAATTGGACTTTTGGGCTAAGCCACACCAGACCCTGTTTGGTCCCTAAACTATTTGATTCTTCATTATTCTTTGATTTCCCTTTAAACAACAGAATAAACCTCACTACTTATTTCTCAGTGCCTGAAAAGACGAAATCTTTTGTGATTTCTTTTCTTTTGCTTTGGTAGACTCTTCACATACAATTTTCCTCTAAGATAGTACCCAAAATAATTGTAGAAAAGACATGAGATTTTTGCCTATTCCGCGTGCTGAAAGGTGAAAAATATTACAAAAGAGTTGCAAATTTTGGCTAGTGAGTACGCTGCTTATCTGTTCATAAGGGCAGTGGTGGCCTATTCCATGAGTACCTACTCTGAGAAATATGGCACAGCCAAGGGACCTTGTAGGTTTGGGTCTACTGTGAAGAAATTACCTCCTTTGATTGTACCATGCTTCCATAAATGTTAGCCTACAAAAGAGAATCAATGAAGGGAAGAGAGCCTCAAGTTTGAATGAAAGATAAATAGACCATCACATTTTCTTTCTTTATGCTTTAGAAGTTCACTTGGACCCCTACCGAACGTGGTGTCCTGTCGCAGACTGTCAGACAGTGTGCCCCGTTGCATCAGGTGATCCCGGACAGCCTGTGCTGGTGGAGTGCCCTTCTTGCCACTTGAAGTTCTGCTCATGTTGCAAGGATGTTTGGCATGCAGAGGTCTCCTGTAGAGACAGTCAGCCTATTGTCCTACCAACAGAACACGGGTAAGAAAGGAAACTTGGTCTTTGGAATTATTTACTAGTTTTCTCAGAAACATCAAATGTGTTGCTTGGGGGAAGGAGTTATCTAGTAATGGAATTTAGTGATCTATTTTTTCCCCGAAGAATTTTCCTGAGAAGTATCTCAGGATTGGTTAAGTTGTTAATAAAGAATAACCAAAAAAAGCATTTCTAAGGGGATTTTACTTATTTACCCTGAGAGTACCCTGAGGAGAACCTTCCCAATACTGTCGAAGTTAGCATTTGTATGAGTTTTGATTTCTCTTTAGGTAGAGAGACACATGGTCCACTGGTTCTCAGTAGGAAGTCATGGCTTGGCAAGAGCCATTTACTTGGATACCATACCTACCTACTATTGACATATCTCATTCTTCCTGCTCACAAAGTGGTGCAGAAATTATTTTCTTACCTAAGTTGCCAGCTCATGAGGTGTGCCCATCATACCAGAGAGAATACATCAGTAGAAACAACAGCCCTTCAGTGTAGTACAGTGCTAAATTTATAGGTGCTAGAGGAAAAGAGCTTATCTCTCAATACTTTTTACTCTGAAAAGATGGTGCCAAGGTTGAGATTTTGTTATGATGAGAAGCAATTAAATCTGTACCTTTCAGTAGAGAAGGTTTTTATGACTGCAGCAGGGCTCAGAGTGAGAGCCCTTTGTGTTTGATCCCTCGCTTTGCTTGAGGCTGTGACTGTTTTAGTCATCAGTGAGAACAGAAATACCTGTGTTGTAGTCCAGTTGGTTTAGTCACGCAGTGCCCTCAGAGTGTGTAGAACCATTCTTCAGGAACGGTAATGCTACCTGGCTGTGAGACTGTGCTGGAATCTCAGACCAAACAAATCAAGCGAAAAGAAAGATCCAATACACATGGCAGGTATATGTCCTTTTAGCCAGTACCTCTTAAGTTTTTTGCTGCCACTGCAGTAGGGTCCCCGGATATCACAAGACAATGTAAAGATCCCAGGGTGAGAAGGATTGAGTTCTGACATTGTCACTTGGCATCAGTGTGACCTCATGCAAGTCACTCAGCCTCTAGAAGACTGTTTCTCTATTTGAAAAAAAAGGAGCAGGTAATTAAAATAGTAACTGCCCCATTGCTATATAAGGTTATTGTAAGTACCAAATTCTATCATAGTTTTGATAACACATGGCGAATTTGATGCCTGTGCTGGGAGGTTTTGATGAGCAATAGCTCAAGTGCAACCCAGTTCTATGACTCACCTAGCCTTCCCTCCTACCCCACTTTATTCTCTTATTTTCTGTGCCCTGCTAGGCTATGACCCTGTGTCAGTCTATCCATTTGTTTGGAGCAGATCTTTTCAATGACTTTGGACATTACTACAATACTTTAAAATATTGTCTATTGATCCTATCCAACCTCCTCCATTTATTAATTTGAATAGATCATTAAATAGATTATCTATACCCTGTTAGATTCTAGCTAATTTTTCTGCTATGTAGCAGACTTCTTGAGCTTTTTATTCAGATAGTGTGTGCTCAGGGAATGAAATACTAATTTGACAAAACAATGAATTAAATCAGCTGTGGAAGATACGACTATATCATTACTCAAAGCCAAAGATAAATAAATTACAGTCTTTTTTGTTCTGAGTTATCTAAATAACCAATAATCTCTGTTTCTCCTATTTTTACCCCAACCCTTTTCCTCTGGGGGGTGAATTAAGCACAGATAATGAAAAGTTCATTACGTATCAGGAGGCTTAGGAATTCCATTGATGTCCATAAAGTTGAGTCTAGAAGGGCATTGTTTAACTAATAATTATATTCAGCACATTCTTCCTGCAGTCCTGATTAGTGTATACCCTTGTGGTCCTAGCTTTTTAAAAAATCAGGTATCATTCTCAATCCCCATCCTGTAATGTCTCATCTACTTTATTTCTAGGGCCCTCTTTGGGACAGATGCAGATGCTCCCATTAAGCAGTGCCCAGTTTGCCGGGTTTACATCGAACGCAACGAAGGCTGTGCTCAGATGATGTGCAAGAACTGCAAGCACACATTTTGCTGGTACTGTCTCCAGAACCTGGACGTAAGTTCCACATGGAAGACTCTTCTTGGGTGGTCTTTCTCCATACTGTCCCTGCACAACAGCTGATGTCCTACAGGCTTTCCTTTTAAAATATCGCACCTGGTTTTGTACTGCCAAAGAATTTATTTTTCTCTATGAGGCTTTCTGAGCATGCTACTTTAGATATCTGTAAAACCTCTCTTTGATTTCCGTAGGTATGTCACCTTAGCTTTAAAGGCAAGCTTTTGTTTTGGGAACATTTCCTGCTTTGGGGGCATTGTCTCATTCTGATATATAAAGGTATGTTAGTGTATTAGTCTTATGTTGCTGTTGTAACAGATTACCACAATTTTGGCTTAAAACGATACAAATTTATTGTTTTTAGTTCTGTGCATTAGAAGTCTGATACAGTTCTTACTGGAGTAAAATCAAGGTGTCCTCAGGGCCATTTTTGGAGGGAGTCTCTAGGAGAGATTAAATTTCTTGGCCTTTTCCAGCTTCTAAAGGCTGCCAGCATTCCTTGGCTTGCGACCCCTTTCTCCATCTTCAAAGGCAGCAACATCACATTTCTCTGATCCTTCTTTCATAGTCATAGCTTCCAGAGTCATTCCTTCTGGCCACAGCTAGGAAAGGACCCATGTGATTAGATCAAGCCCCTCTATATAATACAGGATAATCTCCCCCACCTCAAGGTCTTAATTTAATCACACTTACAAAATCTCTTTTTCGCCACGTAAAATAACATATTCATAAATTCTGGGAACTAGGCTATGGCTATCTTTAGGGGATCAGTTAGTCTACCACAGTTTTTTTGTATTTAAAGAAAAAAGCCATTTAAGTCAGTGGTGTCTCTCATTATTTTACTATCTCATTCATTGGCATGACAGTGTTATTGCTACTGTTTTTAGGATTCCCCTCCTAGATAAAGGGATCTGGTGTAATTCTTCTTTTCCTGCACCACTCTCAAAGCATGTCTTCCCAAATCCAGGTGTAGTTTCATTCAGTCTTGTGCTAATAAGGCTAATTGTGCCCTCAGAGTTAAAAGGTGGTGTGAAGGATTGTAGAGAATTCTAGTGTTTTCAGTTATAGTGTTTTAAAGTTTGTTGTAGCCTAAGTAGTTTATAGATACTCCCTATCTTGGCAATTTGAACCTATAAAATATGTCCATATCAGTGTAAGCTCTCAGTCATGGTTGGGTGGTCATTTTTTTCTCAGCTTTCCATTTTAATTGCTTAGTTTGCTTCAATTCAGTAAGCAATTTGTGTAGTGCTTTAGTATTATACATACTCGGCGAGTGAGTGTGCCGTTAACACGGGATGCATGCTTGCCACCACGTGCCTGATTTTTAACTGAAGATTTGATAAGTTGTTTAGGATGACATCTGTGAGTAAGAATCTTAATCGGCTTGACATCAGTGTTTCAAGATGAGGTATAAATTGGGGAGAAGAAAATTTACATTTTAGACTCTCGAAGCTCAGCAGCTCAGGTTGAAACGTTTTCATTCTTTTAAAAAAATTCTGTTGTAACCCCTTGAATTACAATTATGTTTGATAGTTGAGACCTCTCATAATTCCAAATGAGTGATATTCTGAGTGAAGATTTGACTGATTGTACATCCCTCATGCTTTACAAATGAAAGAAATCTTTTTTTTTTTCTTTCCTTCAGGTTTAACTAGAATATTAATTGGGTTCAGATCCAAGGAGGCTGAGCCCATGAGATTCTCTTTAGGAAGTAAAAGTATAAGGGGATAAATATGTACGCCAGACCTCTCCATCCTCTAGCTGAAATGTGTTTGTGGAATGGTGTTGCAAAGAACACAGTGTTCTGTCACTTGTACTGTTCTGGGACTTGAGATGAAATGATACAGATGTTAAGTGGCTGGATACACAGCATCTTTTTCTGGTCATTGTTTTCTTTGATCTCATTTTCTTGGTTTTAGCTGGGGGTATTGGCTTATTGGTAAAGATGCTTTTCTGTAGACAAGTGTTCTGTATCAGATTGTATGGTGTTGATATTTGTTTATAGGAAAGTTTTAGAGCATGAATCTAGGAGGAAGGTGATTGTCCAAAAGCCAAGCCTGAGACAGACACCAAACAGAGTGATTTTGAGTTTTGCTGGGGCATTGAGTGCGTTCCTGCTTCAGTCCTCATCCCTGTTGTTTCAGAGGATGAGGAATTAATCTTCTGCTTTGGGAACCTTGACGACTTGTCCCTTTCAGTTATCGCTTCTCTCTCCTGTGACTTCAACTTCTGCTTTCCACTCTCTAGTCTCTAACTTATCCCCACATTCAACTGCTTCCCACTTAAAAATGAGTAGCACTTTTTCTCAAGCCTCCATCTTTCCCTTGCTAATGTTCTATTTCTCTTGTTCCTTTAGCAAGCAAGCCTCAATAAAGCATAATGACCTCTAGCTGTTGACACTTACTTACCTCCAGTTATTGTTGTGGCTGAGATTGCCACCTACTCATCCCCTGACTATGATCTTCCAAGACTCTGAGTGATTTCTTTTGGGTAAAATGCAAGGGACACTTCATTCCTCATCTTACCTAGGTTCTCTGCTGCTTTTGACATCTTGACCATGTCCATTTTGGTGGTTTCATCTCTTCAGGTTTCCCTTCTATATTTCTGGCTACTTCTCAGTTTCCTTTCCAGGCTCTTTCTTGCCCCATTCTTACATGTTTGTGCTCAACAGCCTCTTTGCTCCTCAGTCTGTACTCTCCCTGGGTAATCTCATCTACTTCTGTGTTTTCTTCCACCCTCTATGGACTGATTCCCAAGTCTTTTTTCTCAAATCCACATCTATGTAACTAGCTGCCTTTTGAACAGTACTGCTTGAATGTCTCAAGTAACTTCTTAAGTTCAACATATCCAAACTCTGGTCATGACCTCCCAACAAAGTCCATCTCTTTGTTGTCATTTCCGTCAACAAAGCCACTGCCTTCTACCCAGTGACTTTCTGTTTACCTGTGATTTTTTTTTTCTCTCTTTTTCCCCATGTAGTTAGTAACCTTCTTAATATCTCATGACTTCATTTCCTCTTCTTCATCTCAGCCACTGGCATGTTATCTCCTTGTTTACTACAGCTCCCTTTTGGCTGTCTTGTTTATGGTCCTCTCATTCCGTATCACACCTCTGATAGAGCTACCTTTTGAAGATAATTGATCAGGTCATTAATTTCTTTTTGTCAAGAGTCTCATTGGTTATGATCTGTTTTTACTCAAGTGATTTATAAAACTACTGAGAGATAGTCTAAAGATCGAGGGCTTGGAATTCCTACAGACTGTCATTAATGTCACTAGAAAGAGCCTTTGCTTCCACTAAGGTGATCTGATGTGGTCAGTATCTATCTCGCAATTCAAAACTGCATGATTACCAAAATCTCTCTCTTTGTTTTCCAGAATGACATTTTCCTCAGACATTATGACAAAGGGCCGTGTAGGAATAAGCTCGGCCACTCAAGAGCCTCAGTGATGTGGAACCGAACACAGGTACCCTGACCTTAAAAGGAGCATGAAATAAACCAGACTCGTGATGGCTTAAAAAGCCTGCCTGTTCATCCTCCCCACTTTATTCCTGCTTACCCATTCAAGCCTGGAAGGTTCTGGGGAGGTCTGGGCCAGGGCTAGGGAACAGCAACTGTCTGAATTAATTCATGAGCACAGTCCTCTTGAGGATAAGTGGAAGGGCAGGGCACCAGGTCAGCCAAGTAATTAACAGTGACCTGCAAAATGAGGGCAGATGTTTTCTCCTCTTGCAAAAAATGGTAGAATGGCTTTCCTAAAGGTGTATTTGCTATGGAAGGCAGTGCTCTAAAACCTGATGAGCCCCTGCTGGGCTTTGGATCCCTCTGTACATGCCATTGTGAGTTTATATGACAGGTTCAAAGGGAGTCCTGGTTTATTTTTAATAGTGTTTCATATTTATTAAAGGCCATGTTCCTTTTGAAGGAATTGGTGTTAATAGCCTAGTAATCATTATTAACATGCCTATGAGACTGTTGAGGAAACTCAGGTAGAGAGAGAGCCAACAGCAACATGTCATGATTATACTGAGCTTGTGCCAGAGCCTGACTTAGTATTTGGTTTGTTCTTCTCACCTTTGATTTAGTCTTTGGTATCTCCCTAGTTTATTCAGTTTAGAGGATTGCTGGGCCCTGGCTAAAAGGTCTCATAATAGTAACTGTTTTATGTGCCTGAGGTGGTGTCTTAGTTCAGGCTGCTATAACAAATTACCATAGACTGGGTGGCTTAAACAACAGAAATTTATTTTTTATGGTTCTGGCGACTGGAAGATGGAGATTAGGGTGCCAGCAGGGTTGGGTTCCGGCAAGGACTGTCTTTGTGATTTACAGATGGCCATCTTCTCACTGTGTTCTCACATGGCAGAGGGTAGAGAGAAAGGAAGCAAGCTCTCTCTGGTATCTCTTCTTATAAGGGCACTAATCCTTTCATGAGAGCTCCACCCTTATGTCCTAATTACCTCCCAAGGCCCCCATTCCAAACAGTATCATATTCGGGATTAGGGTTTCAACATAAATCTGAGGGGGGGCGGCGCGCGGCGGCAGGACACAAGTAGTCAGTCCATAGCTGATGGCATAATATACATATAGGAGGATTTAACTGCTGAAATAGGTTTTTTTTCTCCCCTAAATTTCCAGGTGGTCGGGATTCTTGTAGGGTTGGGCATCATTGCTTTGGTGACTTCACCCTTGCTGCTCCTGGCTTCCCCATGTATAATCTGTTGTGTCTGCAAGTCCTGTCGGGGCAAGAAGAAAAAGCATGACCCATCTACAACCTAAAGAGCTCTGATGTGTCCGTGTGCCACAGATGTCTTATACGTAAGAGACAACACAGTGATAAAACCCCACTTAGTGAACTCACCTCCTTCTTCTTGCCAAATTTTGGAAGTGCCTCTGTGTCCAGACTTTGAACTTGCTTGCCCACCTGCAGCATCTGAAAAGGCCAAGCACTGGTATTTGTGTTCCTTTGTAAAGAGAATCAGGTTCTGCAGTCCAGGCTGTGTCTGTGGAGCAGGTCAGGAGCTCTGGGTTCTTGGAGAGGAATTAACGCATCATCATTTTATCATCTGAAAGATCCCACTGGACTATTCAACTTCCAGCCATATTCAAGGAGCCTGAGTGGACATTCAGTGTAATAAAGGTGTTGTCATGGTTGGTGACATACATGATGATTGAGAAGCCAGAACCTGATCTGTGTTGATTTGACCACCATGGGAAATGTGGGAGAAAACCCACGGATAAGATTATATCAGGGAAAATTCTCATAAGAGCGATAACACAGCTGCTTATCTTAGGAGTCGATATGGTGGTTCTGCCTCTGCTGGCTACTGGGTGTGCTTCCCGACATTCCCACAGTGACTTGGCAGAGACACAATAGGTTTTTCCTTGTGTGATCTCAGCTTCAAGCAGGAGAAACTGCTGTGCAGAGGGAGTTGTCCCCTCCCAGTAAAAGGATTTCAGCATATAAAACAATGTGGTCTAATTTAGCCTCTCTCCCTTGGCAAGTGTAACTTGTTTAAGGTGATAAACTCTTCTCTTACAGCCAGTAGCTGCAGTCTTGTTTTACGTGAACTATATTAGTGGAGTGGCAGAGGTTCAAAACCTTCATCATAGATAACAAAGACCTTTGTTGAGCTCTGTATTCATACACCCAACAGATTTAGAATTGGACCGTAAAAATACACACTAAGAGTAAATATTAAAGTCTATATGTTCATCTAGAATCCATATAACTTGGGGACTACCTAAAATTACTATCCATTGGGCATGCATGAATATACACACAAAATAATATTGTGTATTATTACACACAGTAGTACACACAAAATAAATGTTTATGTAAAAACTATTCTATATTCTGTGACTAATACGATTTATTATAAATCAACCTGAAGATTTTTTGCATACTACATATGTATGTGTGTGTGTATATATATATACGTGCGTATATATATACGTGTGTATGTGTATATATATATATATACATATATATATAAATAAATTTTGGTTCTTAACTTACCCAAAGGTATAGATTCATAAACATAACTTTTTTAAAACCATACTTAGGATGACATCATGCCACCTCAGTTTGTAAAATTGAGTATTTTCAAACACAATTCAGAGCAGATGTCTTCTCAGCAGAGTTTAGTATCTGTTAGGGCAATCAAAATACTTTCCTGTATGTACAAGGCACTGATAAAACAACAAAAATATGTAAGAAGTAAAATATAAAAGCTTTATATATCTTCTACAGTTTGATTTGTATCACCTCATCGTGACTTATTTTTCCCATTATGCCATTAGTCAGATTTTGAATAAATGGGTTTTGAAAAGGATAACTTTTTCTCCAATGACAGGATGACATAATTGCCATTAGCAATATAGCCTAGTGCCTCATGAAAACTATATTAAATGTTAATGGAGAGGTCTCCTTGAAACCGGAGATACCACATCAGGCCCTATCAGGACCTATGCTATTTTCCAAGGTAACTGGATAACTAGATTATTAAATTGCTGCTATCGTGAACCTATTATTAATGAATGATGCTTTGCTTATGTAATAGAATGTATTCTAAGTGGGGATGTGTATATTTAAGGAACTTTAATTCATCTGTACATATTGATATCTATGTATAGTAATTTTGGTCATGTATATTTTTATTTACAGTTTGTATAGAACATCGAGAACTCTGGGAAAACTTTCGAATGGCAGCCAACCAAAAACATTTTTAATCATTTATTAGAAATTTCTCAACATTAAGTGTCTTTATTTTCCTTCAACACTCTAAACACTTCAGGAAAAAATCAGTACTCTCTTCTATCAATGTATTTCATATTAGTATAAATATGAATGTACATATATTTGAATAATTTGCTTTGTTTTACACTGCCTCATTATAGTTAAGGGCATTTATAATTGCTCAGGGGATCACAGGAAATCAACAGAAACTGAATTTTTCTGTCAAGAATGTCAGTAGTCGCAATGTACTCCTTAATTGGTAAACTCTCCAAGCTTGGTTCCACAAAGAACCTTTACCCAGGGACTGATTTTAAGTAATCCTGAATTTGTAGTAAAAACGGAAGAAAACATCTATGTTATTTCTTTGGCAAAACTGAAGAAACTTATCTTCTTACAGAGATACTATAACAGAATTAGCTACTTTCGTGTGTGTGTGTGTGTGTGTGTGGGCGGTGGGGGCAGTAAGGAGTGGGCATTGTTTGTCAAACAGATTTGAAATAACTGGATTTAAATTTGAAAATGTTAGAAGTACCTGGAAAATGGCGACTTCCTCCTTAAAGAGCTAAATGAATTGTCCTGTGCGATATTGTTGGAATCAACAGGAATAGGTTGGTAGGTGAAACCCAAATATATCTCTGGTGCATCAAAGGGTGAGGTGTAAGCTGATCTAGAGATTTTGTTTATAAAGGAGAGAGCTGACAACTTTGATAACAGAGACTGATGCTTCATTTTGGTTAATTGGCCAGTGAAAGAATTTAACCATATCTCCTTCCTCTATGGGCTTTATCTTTCCTTAGTGATTCTCATTCTCTACTAGGAAGAAATCTGGGTCTACATGATAATGTTTGGATGTTGTAGCAGAAATCTTTTTGCGTTTGCAGTGGTATAGTCCATTTGAAACAGAAATTAAAAGTCCTTCACCAAAATTGTTATCTGGATGTAATAACCCATCATCTAGAAACACTACTGGATATAATGGCACAACATCTCGCTGTGATGTGGTGCCATTAGGATTTTTTTTCTCTTGTTCTTAGGTGGGGAGGTGAGGAGGGAAACCATATGGGAACAAATTTTAGAATCTTAGGCATCCTGTTTATTTATGCCATGAATGTTTGCTCTGGACTTGAAATCTCTCTTTTGAAAGAGGTCTTTGAAAAATGAATAGTTCACAGTGTGAATTTTCTTGTAGCCTGCATCACAAATATCTTACCTATTGAGGTCTGAAAATCGACATACTTATTTGAATGTAAATAACTGTTTCTTGGAACCCCAAATTGTCTCTTAAATTATTCACA